TGTGTGCTTGAGGACGTGCACCTTTGTTGATGCTCAGTATCTCCCTTCTCTGTCATTTTCCACCTTACTTTTTGAGACAGGGTCTCTCACCGAAGCTGTAGCTCACCAATTCAGCTAGCCAGGCTGCCCAGTGAGCTCCAGGGATCTGCCTGTCTCTGCCTTACCAGGCCTGGGGTTAAAATGCATGTCAACACACTTGGCTTTCACACGGGTGCTGGAGATCTGAACGCAGGTCCTCACGTTTACAGGCAAGAGTTTACCCACTGACTCATCTCCCCAGGCCTGCTGTGGCTTTTGCTTATCAGCATGTTTAGATGCATGTGCCCTACTCTGTTGGGCTGCTATTTGGCAATGCTGAGTACATGCATCTGATCTGCTCTTGAGGAACTCAGAGGTGCTCCCAGCTCTGGGCTCACTTGAATGGTGCTCCTCTGAACACCCATGCAAAGCTCTCCCAGGTACACAAGTGGGACTTCTAGAGAGGTGTCCTCTTGGGATCTCTTCACTGGGCTGTGACTCGTGCCAGTGATCATATAGCTATTTCCTGAGGCTGGACCAATATGCCCACCAACCACTGTGCACAGCCTTCCATTGATCTATGTCCTTGGGTATGTGGTCAGCAGGGCAAGTTGTCTTTTCCCCAAGTGCACCTGCCCCTGCCTGAGAGTCCATCCCACCTCCTTTGTTCCCACGCTTCCTTGGCTCTTAAATGAGGAGCTTTCCTAACCATGGGATATGAGCTCTGCCCCTCACCCAGGGCCCCCAGCACCTTGAACTTTCCAGCACACTGTCTAATGTGAGGTACAAACAGAACGTTTCTGTTTCCCCTGCTGCTCTGAAGGCAGGGCCGCACCTCAGTCACCTCACCACTCTGGAGTCCAGCACAGGCTAATACACAGACACTTCAAACTATGTACTGGCTTAGTTTTTACTGAATAGATGAAGCTAGTCTGGGAGGCTAGGGGTTAACCATCCAGACGTTAGATGGTGGGCACAGAGGCCAAATGCTCAGTCTGTTCTGAGGGGCTCAGTGTGCAGCCTTAAAAGGGGGAAGAGGAGGGAGAGCAAACTCAGGTCCTCACTCCCTCTTTACCTGTGAGGAGAGACAGCAAGGCTGAAAGCAGGTTGGAATGCACTCTGCAACCCTCACTGGCTGTGTGACTTTGGGCAAGTGTCTGAACCTCTCTGTGCAATTTATAGTTTTCTCATCTATAAAGCAAACAAGAACTCCTTTCTCAGAGTGTTGTTATAAGGCTTAACTTAAATGAGCTCATATTTATAACACATGTAGAATGGTTCCTGGAACATGGCAAGTGTGATATCAATATTTATTACACTAAAAATAAAGGCAGACATAAAGAGGGCTGCTTTCTGTAGGACTCGGGCATTTCCTCTCCCTAGGTCCTGCACGCACTCTGAGGGAAGGATGTTCTTCTTGTCACTCTTCAGCCCTTGGTCCTTTCACTTCCCTGTATCTGAGATCTGAGGGGACCGTGCTCATTGGCTTGTGAGTTTAGTCCACTCTCCATTAGCTTGTGGGTACACAAGATCAAGCTTGGCTCCCCTAAATCTTGTATCCTGTGTCAGATGTCTTGAGCAGTGTGGGGCTAGCTCAACTGTGGGTTCAGGGGCTGGGTACAGACAGGGCTCTGACAAGGAAGGTTCAGGAAACCTGGGAAGGAAGCAGGAAAGCAGGTAGTCAGCACCAATGGGGCAAGGGGACTCGGAGCCATGGCTCTGTAATAAGTGACCTTGGTGTTGAAACTCTACTTGGTAGAGAAGGTTCTGGAAGGGGGTAAGGCCCTGATAAAAGCTTGGAAATGTAACAGAGTGAGGCCTATGTCTGGGATCCTGGGGGGTTCAGGAAATCCAGAGCGAAGCAAGGAGTGCATGGGGTGGTGGCAAGGGAAGAGGGGACAGACCACAAAGACCCTCAGTAATCTGCCCCTAGCCTGGAAACCCTACCCTTGAAGGAGACTTTAGCCACCCCACCTCCTGGGCACATTGTGAAACCTCAATGCTCTATGCCTGGCAGATAATCTGGGGGAAAGCTCTGGACACCATGGCATCATTTAGTGGGAACTATAGCGACCTGGTGTGGGTCGACACATCAAAGGGTTCTGCTACTATGGCAACAGAACAACAGGACAAGCCTAAAATTAGAGCAGTAAAAGAAAAAAGAGGAATGTGCCAGAAAGAGGTTCCAGAGAAGTCTCACCAGGTATTGGAGGGAGCACAGAAGGCCTGGACTTTGCTTTGGACAATCCAAGTGGCCCTGGAGAGGACCCTCCCGCTCCCCAGACTCAGTTTCCTCTTCTGTGTGGCTAGCTTGAGAGCACTGCCCTGGCAGATCTGGGATGTGCTAGGGTTCTCTGCCCAGAGCCATCGACAACAGAAGGGAAGGTGGGAAGGTAAGACTATGAAGGCCAGTCATCAGCCACCCAGGCCAGGTGGCCTAAGGAACATTGCATCAGAAATGTCTTGGGGCATATACTTCTCATTTCTGGAGTCTGCTGGCTTGGGCTGACTCTAGTCTCACAGATTTGTCCCTGCCTGTTCTGGATTTATTTAGTTGTTAACCTGACATACCTGGGTAGAGGGAACGTCAATTGAAGAATTGTCTACATTAGATTGGCCTGTGGCAATATCTGTGGGGCATTTTATTGGTTGCTGAGTGATGTAGGAGGGCCCGGCCCACTGTGGGCAGTGCCATCCCTGGGCAGGTGGTCTTGTGTTGTAAAAGAAAGCAGGCTGAGCACAGGCCAGGGGAGCAAGTCAGTAATGAGTGTTCTTCCAATGGCCTGTGCTTCAGCTCCTGCCTCCAGGTTCCTGCCCTGCTTGAGTTTTCTCAGTAACGAACTATTATGTGGAAATGTAAGCCAAATAAACCCTTTCCTCTCCAAGTTGGTTTTGGTCAGTGTTTTCATCGTAGCAATAGAAAGTAACTAAGACACTGTCCTAGGATCACCTTGTCCCACCGCAGCTTACAGGGAATGATGTAGCCATGAGACCTCCTGGGATGCCCTGGTGCTGGTTTCCAGCTGCCTGCCCTGGCTCAGGCCTTCCCAGGGCTCTTAGATCCACCTCTCACTCACTTCCTTCCTCTCCCCTGCTTTCCCAGGCCCTAAGCTGTGGCAAGGGTCCTTCTCTGTGGGATGAGATGGACACGTTCTTGCTCTCTCCACTTCACAGATGTTTGGCCAGTAGACAAAACTCTAGAGAGCTTGTCTGACTGCAAAGAACTGCCCAGGCATTCATGAGAGGGTGGAACAGCAGGTGCATGGCCACTAACCAGCTAGGTAGACTTGGGTAAGTATACAACCTCCTGGGTTTCTACTTCTTCACCTACAGAACAGGGTTTAGCCCAGCAGCGACTTCCCAGAACAGTGGTGAGACGAGATGATGTATGTGCCATCACTGTCATCACTAGGACCAACATGGCCCTTACTACCATCACCCCACACTCCCCCCAGTTCAGGGGTTCCATTGCCCAGGGGCTCCATTCTTCCTGATGTCAAAATCCTGGGGTAGCTGAGGAATCTCCTGGGGCACTGAATGGGAGGGCCTAAGGAGCGGTGACCAGATGTTACCTCCCCTGTCTGCCTGGATGACTTGGTTGCAGTCAGCTCTGTCCACAGGCACAGCTGGAATCAGCCCACCCACTGCCATTCCCGACTTTCTCCCGGGGTGTGCAAAGAAGGGACAATCAAGGTGGAGTCTCTTTCTTAAATGATAGTCTCTGATTGTGTAACTCCTTACTGGGCTGAGTAAGCCTCCATCTGTCCCAAGCTAAACGTGGCTGTTTTATTTACCTGAAGGATAAAAGCCCTGTCCCCAGATCACAGAATCACCTCTTCTGGTTTAGTTTAAGAATATACACTAAGTTCTACAAAAAAAGATTTTCCTGATCATACAGTGAGGGAAGTAGAGGCTCACCATTTCCTGGAATCTGCTGCACTATATGAAAGTGACACTGAAAACAGGCCCCAGCCATCAGTCCTGCTCAAAGCCAAGTTCACCGGGTTAGGAGTTAGGAGAGTCAGCTGAGCACACCACCAGGGGACAGAGGACAGAGGCTGCCCTAAACTGGAGCATCTGCATAGAACACTGCAAGGCTGAATGTAAGACAGTTAAAATCTCTCTCTCTCTCTCTCTCTCTCTCTCTCTCTCTCTCTCTCTCTCTCTCTCTCTCACACACACACACAGAGACACAG